GTAGGTCGCTTGCTTTGGGCATCTCTAATCTTCTGGCTGAGATAAACCAATTGATTAGTAGTGCTATGACCTCTTCTAAAACAGTATTGTTCTTTTGGTAGGAGGTTATGGGTATCCAAGTGGAAGAGCAACCGCCGCATAATCATTTTCCATGACTTTACATGTAATGCTGGTTAGGGCGATGGGTCTGAAGCTCCCAGGAGATCCGTCGGTTTGGCCAGGTTTCTGAACAGGTATGATTGTGGCTCCTTTCCACTCTTTAGGAAGGCGTCCAAGACTCCAACATTGATTCACTATATTCAGAAATTTCTTTCTTGCATGAATGCCAAGATGCCCAATTATCTGACCATGGATGCCATCAGGTCCAGGAGTTTTGGTCAAGTCAAAATCCTCGAGTGCCATCTACAATTCATGCATGGAGAAGGATTTAAAGAAACGGGGATTGCCCGAGACAGCACTACGACATCCACGTGCAAGATCTCTAGACCTTTTTGTCACTTTCTTATCAACCTCTGTAAACGTCAGCTCACTTATCTTCTGGTAATGTGCCCCGAGGAGATCAGCCGCAGCTTTATCATCTCCGTATCTAAAATAGTATTACATCCCTTTATCTGAGGTTGTTCACTGCTAATATTTTTGATCAATTTCCACAGTTTCATGCCCGATGATCTAGCATCAAGTCCCTCACATCTATCCATCCACTTTTTCCTCTTGAGCAGCACATAGATTCGTTTTATTTCTGCACTGACTTTGTTCATCTCTGTCCTGTTTTGCTCTGTATTATTGTTTTTCAATTTGAGTCGCAGGTTCTCTGTCTTCCGGAGCAAAAGCAGCAAAGCCGGCGAATTATGAGTAAAGTAGGGATTAAAGAGCTTTACCTTCCTCTAGGTATAGTCTTTTAGCTGCCTTGAAGAGCATGTGCTTGAAAGTAATCCAGTTAATATCAAGGTCACTTGAGTGAATGCCGGGTTCAACCAGTGTGTCAACGAGATCACCAAAGGCCTTCCAGTCTGCCTTAACAAAATTCTAATATTTTTTACGCTTGAGGAAAGTACACTGTTTCTTCTTTATATCAATTAAAATTAGAGAATGGTCACTCCCAATGTTCTTCATAACTGTCCAGGTGCAAATTGGAAAGATAGTGGGACTTACCATGGACAAATCGAGGGCTTCAGACGTGTTATAGCTATATGAAGAGGGTGTTGGAGTACCATCATTAAGAATCATGAAACCTGAGTCATCTATAGAATGAAGAAGATCAATTCCTCTCTAATTCTGGGAAGAACATCCCCACCCTGGATGCTTAGCATTTAAGTCACCAGAAGTAGAGAATTTCCAGATAAAAGATTATCAAAGACTCCAGTCAGATTACCAATGTTAGGAGGGTGATATAAATTAAAGATATCTAGTGGTTCACCTCTCCACATAACATTGATGCCTTTGAACTCTAAATCTGAACCAGTGGGTGCATAATAGCTTTTGGAAATATAGTTAATATCTCTGATAATGTTGAAATACCATTAACATTACATTGGACTATTTTAAGAGTTCGTTGTCTAGGAGACTGTAGATTACTTTCGGACGAAGTCTTCTTCCTAAACCTCAAACGCGCCCCTTTTGAACCTGCGCGACGGGCGATGCAGTATGGATTACATTAGAAAGCTTCATGACTCATGGGTGGAGGAAAAGGGCAGCCTCTCTAAGTCGTGAGACCCAAGCACCAATGGTAGAGGACTGACTTAGCTCAGATGCCTGTAGGCTTTAGCTGGGTATAGTGGAATAGCCTTCACGCCTTGGGTGGCCCTACCAGGAGTATACACTCCCGACGTACTTCGCCTATTCCATCCAGTGCCACCCCGTCGCCACGTTGAGGCAGCCTACAGGTCTTGAGGGGGCAATGTTTCCTTATAGTGTTAACGAAATCCTAAGTCTCATGACATAGGATTTCAATTTATATTCTTAAAGCAATAAAAATCGATTGAAATATTTAATAGTTATTCATCTACTCATATGTTTCATTGACCGCTTGCGCGGTGCATAGCGCTTTTCCTTGCAATTCAACTATATGCGTAACAGTGACCTTAATTTTTTTGAGGTTCTGTTAGTTTGTGTTATTATGGATAATATAGCCATGCCTAATTAACTGCACTTACAAACACTATGAGAATTTTTAAGGTAAATCTAATCAGCGGCACAAGGATAATTTGATTTATCTCAAATTCTAAAAGATTTTTCACTAAAATGGATTAATACGATTTTTAATTTCATTTTTAATTTGCAAATCATTTTCATATTTAAACACAATATTTTATAAATTAATTGCCATGAAAGATTGTATTATAGGGAAGCAATCCTTCTAGAAACATACAAGAGATTTGTAAATGTATTCACTTGTATGCTCTCAATTATACTCATGTCCATAAATTAAGGATAATGCAAAATCAGGCAAAGGAAGAGTTAGAAGCAAAACAAATTTGACTTATTTGTTAAACAAAAGGTAAAGAGCAAAAAACAGATGCTATATGTTTGATATTATTAAAAAAATTAGCGATTTTTTCTCCCTGGAGCAAATTACAAAAGAAACCTATTTACAAAAAACCAATATTACATGGTTGGTATGATTGTTAATACATTGTATGTCTTCCAGACGATGCAATACAGTCCGTACAACGCGTAGGTATGCTGAGTATCAAATTATCGATCTGATCTTGGGGGATATTACACCACTCAAAAAGCAATGCTCTCCGAAGTTCCGGTAGACATGAAGGAAGAGGTTGACGGGCTGCAACTCGTCAGCCAAGCATGTCCCACACGTGTTCTACTGGATTCAAGTCCGGTGAGAATGCTGGCTACTCCATACGGGTGATATGCTCCGATTAAAGGCATTCGCTTACGATGTTTGCACGGTGAGGACGGGCGTTGTCATCCATAAACACAAATTGTTCGCCCATGGCGCCCCGAAACAAACGTACATGTTGTTCCAGAAGGACGTCCCGAGAGATTTGGCTTGTCATGGTTCCAATTTCAACATGCAGGTCAGTTCTGAAACCCAGAATAATTCCATCCCAAACGAGCACTCCTGCACCACCGTAACGGTGTCGTTCAATGATGTTTTTTGGTGGTAACGGGTACCTGGAGCTCTCCATATGAAAGTCCGGCGAGAATCAGACTGCAAGCTAAACCTGGACTCGTCGGAAAACATCACACAAGCCCACTGTTGCGGTGTCCATAATGAATGCTCTCTACTCCAGGCTAACCGCAGGCGACAGTGAGTTGCAGTAAGTGGAACGCATCTGACAGGTCTACGAGCATATAGATCAATCTGCCTTATGCGTCTGTACACGGTCTGCCTTGAAATTATCGTACCGGTGACTGAAGAGAGCTGACGAGGCAGGTCTGAGGCTGTGCTCCGCTTATTTCTTTTGGCAGTAACTGCCAAATACCGGTCCTCATTCGGCTTTGTAACTCTGGGGCGACCTGTGCTGCAACGTCTACTCACATTACTATCATCTTGGAATCTTTGCCAAAGCCTAGAGATGACACTCTGGACAATTCCAAGTTCGTCTGATGCTTCCAGTTGGGTACGCCCACATTCAACACGGCCGATTATTCTACCACGTAAAAAATCATCCAAATGCGTTTTTTGTGTCATAACTATTCGGTCATTGCACTTAAATGCTTATAAAGCGCCTGCGAACAATTTTACTTCTTTGCCTGTATTCCTTATATATCACTCTCTTACACTTTCATCATTGTGACGTACCATCGGTGTCATCTGGTTACCTCCTGAAATTTACATATGATTCTTGAAGATGTGTGTAATGATTTTACAATTGATATATTTATTTTAGAGTTCGATTTCCGCATGACTCCGAATTATCCTTAATTTATGGACATGAGTGTATTATACAGAGTTTAAGTATGTATTATACAGAGTGTATTATACAGAGTTTAAGTATGGCGCCATCTGTAAATGAGGTTGCAAATGAGGAAGCACTGGACACAGCTGCCTTAGTTTTTCCATGAAAGTGGTAAATGATTTTCAAGACTGAAATGAAGTCTGTGGCGTAGAAGCCAAACCAGCACGCCAACGCAAAAGTGCACTTCTACCTTCGCTGCGAATATTTCGATCTGTTTCATGGTGCAGAAGCTGTTTGGTCACAGAGCGTTTCCAAGCGAAATTAGTGAGTCTATAGCCGGTATTCCTCTTTTTAGAAGGAAAATAATAAAAATTGAAAGTATTTGGCTTCTTGCATTGAAATACTTTTTAAATAAACATCTGGCAGGTCGAAACATTTTCGAGGAGTTTATTGCATTTCCTAACATATAAAATCGTTTCGCAAAACGAAATCCGTAGACATGATCATGGCTGGATAATTGACAGACGGAGAATCTAGAGGCAGCATTCTTACATGCTCTTTGGGAAGTGCTGAAATTTACTTTTCCAGTTAAAAAAAAAATATTAATAATATGGGCTATTCAAAAATAGGAAACGGACGTCTTAATAAATTATTATTTCAATTTATCTAAAAACTTCATTGACAAAAAGTAAAATGTTGTTTATAATGTATCCAACTGTTAATTTTTGGGAACATTTCCAGCTTTGCTGCAATTGATAACAGATGTTTTCAACTCGTGCGTTATGTAACCGACGCAAAATAATTTTTACAACTTCTTTTTTATAATTTTTAATGGTAAAATCTACTTTTACTGTGTTAGATATTAGTAGGAATTTTTTAGATTGCAATTATACTCTGTAAAAATGTTGAAACGTATTCGAAAATCCAAAAGAAGAAAATATATTTGAGTTACATATAGACTTTCAGTTACAAAGTTTTCCCTTGTTCAAATATTCAATATGAAAAATATGTACATCTCTTTAACATGAGAACAGCTGAAAACTTGCGTCTTTCTAGTGAGCTATAGAATGCAAAAAAAATGTAGTAATTTGTCACCTGTTCTGATATACGTACTATAAAATGTTTTCTTTTCTTTTTTAGAACAATCCGTCACTAGGCAAGAATTAGAGCAGCTAATGGCAAAATTAGAGCAAGATAATAGAATACTAGCGGAACTTGACAAGAAAAGAAATGTCTTAGGTAAATTTAAAATTTCTGTAGTGAATAAATTATATCATGATACATGTCCCATGCACTTTTTTATTATTTTTATAAACTAAATTATATTTGATTCCATAATGAGCAATAGGGAAACTATTATGGTAAAACAGCTTGTTCTCGCAAGAAAAAATATATTTAGTTCTATTTTTGTAATGATATTATATAAGGCAAAGATTTATAATTATACTCACATGCTCAATATGGAGAAACAAATACACTTTTATATAATATTAAATAAATATATTTATGATTATTATTTAATTAATTAGAAATATTATTCATCATTTCATGAATTAATTAATTAGTATTATTTAATTTTTCATGAAATGAGAGAAAGGAAAAAGTAATTATTTTTTCCATTTAATTCATGTTGATCATTTTCTTCCAAAAAGCAGATAATGGCGAACATGATCCAAAAATTGCTTATCACAAAGTATGTCTTTGTAAATTTTTGCGTTTTAGTATTGATTTCAATATTTATCGTATTAAGATATTTTTATGACATCGATGTACTATTCAGAATAAACTGTCATGATTTGTGAAGTGAAGATTTGTCGGCCGCTTTTAGCAGCCATCACAAAAAAGACCATAAAGCAGCTGATGAAACTACGTAACATTAAAAAACTTTCATATCGTGACCGTTTGAATTAGAAGGTTTAAGCAGAAAAGTTGTCCTGCCAGAAAGCGGAACATTTGTGTTTATGCTTCAAAACAAAAGAGAGCCCCCGGAAGTGGTGCAGGAAACACCCAAGCTGGATCTATAGCAACGGGCCTAAGTTCTCCTGACGAAACTCACTTTATCATTTGATTCTAAATACACTTACATCTGGAAAAAAAATCAAAATTAGGGACTATGGCCATTACGGAAGCTCAGAACTGATGCTACAGAGATCGATAATGATCAATGGATATATTTACCAGCATGTGTTGAGAAAAGGATCTGGACCAAAGATATCCAAATGAAATTGTATAAAGCTTTTTAACCTATATAAAGCTTTTTAACGGTATAAAATGGTATGCAAAGCCTTACCTACGTTAAAATCTGTTGGTGACAATAATATTATTTCCCTACAGCCATTATATAATTACGAAGTAATTTTTAATCGGAGTATTTTTTAAGCCTACGGATACAAATATACGATATGCAGTTGATAATAATTAACAGCATTGCAGTTGATAATGATTAACAGTATTAATAGGCTTTTCAGAAAGAAACTGTTCTAAAAATCCATTTCGCTCGGAAAGGAATTGAAATAAATAAGTCTTGCAATGCATGAAAAATAATTTCAAGATATCTTCAAATGCTACCAGTTGAGAACTTTGGTGGATAAATGATTATCGGGCAAAAATTTGACTCAATCCGAATTTATTATATTGTCACAAAATAAGGAATATTATGAGAGAGGAAAAGAAAGAATAAAGAGAGAAAGGTTAAGATTATGCCATTTGTAGCTAAATTTAAGCACTTTTACTATCACCAAACAGAAGCCGCTTTATTAAAGGTGGCTTCTGAGTCGAGTTGAAATAGTGAAATTTTCTAGTCTTCAACAATAACAATACTATTTTTTATCATTTATAGACAAATAAACTCTTCCTTCATAGAATCTTACTCCACTTCGTTGGGTTCGAAGTCATCTTTACACCTGACGAATAACGGAATACTTGGTCATCATTCCATTATGCCATCCCCCAGTCCATCTTTAGGAAGCCTAAGAGATCCTACCGCCTCTGCGTTAGTGCAAGGTCTCACTGCTTCCGCCTCTTCTGCATCTCTTCATCATGCGTTGGTACCTGCTGGACATGCCTTGATACCCTCTGCACTTCTTCAAAGATTTTCCAGCGGCGGTTTAACTGAAGGTAAGTACAAAATAAACGCGTTAATGTACTTCCTCTCTGTGTTAACAGTTTAATGCTTAATAAGACCCAAAACAGAATTTGATATTAATTTAGGAATGATTTATGCACGACTTCGGACGAATAAATAAATATGATAAATATTATTTATAGCATTCAAGCATGTATACCGTACTGGTGAATCTTAAGTACCATTCATCCTTGATGTATACGGTTTTGAAGTTTGACTTAAAGAACTTAGTTTGAAATTTTTCTTTAAATATATATGAAACCTTTTTGTAGATTTACCGTAATTTGGAGGGAAAAAAACTCTCACTCGCTTTATGCAGTAAACTAACATCAATGTTTTTAGAGTTGTCACGGATGTGTTTAATGTATACTAGGTTATAATCTACTATCATTTACTGCCATAAAAACATTAAAATTTTTTAAGATTATACTCTGCAAACACTTGCAGACTTCGCATCGCAAAATTCGCAGTCACAAGACAAAGAGGCAAAGCAATACCTTCAAAAATTAACAACATTATATATATGGTGTACATTTAGGGCAGTTACAAAAATCTTCGTAATTTCCTTGTGTTGCTAATTTGCAATACTTGAGGTTATATTACTGTTAATAATGTAAGAGCTTAACGAAACATTAACTTGTGCACCATATTCTATGTATGATAACAGTGCATAACCTGTAATACTGGAAGTTGTTTCAGTAAATGCGTATCTGCTGGTCACGTTTTTACTTCGGGATGACATTAATCCGTTAGGCACCCCAGCCTTAGGTCAGATGTCATCTTGACGACGAGAAGAATTGGAGTAATTTCAGGTGTGGTGATTACTTAATTAAAACGACGAACAGCTAACTGCTCATCTTTATTTTCCCAGTTTGTCAATCCAGTAAGTTGATTACTGTAGTAAAACGTGATCTCTCGCGATTCAAGGTTATTTTTTATATGTCTAACCTTAAACAGCGTAATTAACCCCTTGAGACCCTATATGTGTACTGGAGATACTTCTAAAAAGAAGTAACTATCATGATAGTTCAAGAAAGGTTGTGTAAAGCTGCTAAATATGCGCCGTAGCACATTTAGTGATACAATATTTTCAGGATAATATTGTATTGTAAAGAGGTCTGTATGCTAGGCCACGCGTATTGTGCGTCCTGCTTACCTTCTACCACCGAAGAGAACGTTTGAATTGGGTACTTAGTCATGTAAACTAAACTGGAAATCAGTAGAGGTCTCTTCTGCTCATTGGCGAGTCCCTCTTCGCTTTACAGAGTGATTCCCGAAGTGTTTCTACATGGAGAAAAGTAAGCACTCGATATCTTCCATCTATGATATGGGAAAGGGATACCTTTGGAGAAGGTAGTGTTCTGATATAAGGAGTAGCACATTTTTGGTGTGCGCACAGAAATGTATGCACTGCCACGTGGAACTGTCAATACTCAACGGTACATAAACGACATACTAAGTCCTACTGTTCGTCCGTACGGTGCCACAATTGGCGATATCTTCATTTTGCAAGCAGGTAATGCTCTTCTTTCCACTACTTGCCTCGTGCACCAATTTCTCTTGAAAAAGAAACTATAGTCCAAATGGAATATCCACTATGTTCTCCTAACCTTAATCACATTGAGCATATGTTTGACGCTATCTGAAGGCATACAGTTGAGCTCTTCAAACTAGATAAGCTAAGAACTAATAGTTTATGTGATCAATGGACATTGATGTCCATTCAGCTCTTTGACAACATCATAAATAACATGAGACATCGCTGTTAGGCCTTTATTGTTGTTTGGGATCATCATAGTCACTATTGAAAAATTTCTTGTATTTAACTGGTATGCCCTAATTCAGAAGATTTTATGCTCCTCTTGATATCACCAAGTGTTAATATTCTGTGCAAAAGTTTCTTATGTTTTAAATTACAATTTGTGTAATAAATGTTATCAACAATTTTCATAAATAATTTGTTTACATACTTATTAAGTTATCAGTTTTCTGTTTGTTGCTTAATTTTTGGAAATCAGTATAAAATACACTAATGCCCAAAAGTTAAGCATAATCTCAATGTATTTGTGAATATTTCACGAATCAAAAGCTGGATTGGAATGGAACTTATTGTGAATCTGTAATAATAAATACAACATAATAAACCATTGTATAAACTAACTGTATAAATAAATTTTGCGCTGCGTGCTGACTCTAACAGCAGCATAAACATCATATCGATTTTGGCTGTATTCCATGTGCTACCATGATCATTATCACCATAATGAACCCTACTTCAGAAGTACACTAATTTCTTCCCCTGAGCGCACCTCGCATATCTTAATATGGAAGTCATATCTGAGTGCTTTGATATCTATTGTTTACATGGACAGCTTCGGTTTGAAGAAAATGATAGGCTGTTTAAAGGATGCTCAGTAATTTGTGAATATGAACAGTAGATACAGGATATCTCGAGAAGTTAACACTTTGACTACTAACGGGACACATATGTCCCACTAAGAGGAACTTGTTTGCCCTCGAAATCGATTGAGATTTTTGTCCAAATCTAAGCTAAATATAAGGTTTCTTTTTTAACCCTTTAACTAATAATGGGACATATATCTACCCCACTAATTTTACCTTTTTTATGACACATTTAGTTCATGTGAATAAAAAACGGAGTAATATTTTTAATTCGTAGTCAAAGGGTTAAACATCACATTCAGTATATCGTCTTTGTCCTACTATCAGTAGTAGAACCTTTGTCATAAAAGGTAGATGTCTATGCAGCTGTCACGGTTTAATAAATTAAAAATAGCGTGTTCTCATAATCCGTATATAGTGGTGTGAAGAGAATCACTGTACAGACTAAATCTAGACACTAGTCTAAGTCTAGAGAAATCTAGACAGACTAAGTCTAGACATCTATATATTTAGTCTAGACTATAGACTAAGTCTAGACAGACTAAGTCTAGATTTATAATGCATAAATAAGTCCTAGTGGTTCAGAGACCAATTTCGTTGCTCATAACACTACTAAACCTAAGGTCCTCTCGATCAAAACTGAGACAGAGCTAAGGCAAAGTACACTCATGTCCATAAATTAAGGATAATTCGGAGTCACGCGGAAATCGAACTCTAAAATAAATATATCACCTGTAAAATCATTACACACATCTTCAAGAATCATATGCAAATTTCAGGAAGTAACCAGATGACACCGATGGTAGGTCACAATGACGAGAGCGTAAGAGAGTGATATGTAAAGAATACAGGCAAAGAAGTAAAATTGTTCGCAGGCGCTTTATAAGCATTTCAGTGCAATAACGGAATAGTTATGACACAAAGGACGCATTCGGATGATTTTTTACGTGGTAGAATTAGCGGTCGTCTGAAATGTGGGCGTACCCAACTGGAAATATCAGATAAACTTGGAATTGCCCATAGTGTCATCTCCAGGCTTTGGCAACGATTCCAAGATGATGGTAATGTTAGTAGACGTTACAGCACAGGTCGCCCCAGAGTTACAACGCCGATTGAGGACCGGTATTTGGCAGTTACTACCAAAAGAAACAGGCGGAGCACAGCCTCAGACCTCTCTCTTCAGCCACTGGTACGACAATTTCAAGGAAGACCGTGTACAGACGCTTAGGGCAGATTGGTCTATATGCTCGTAGACTTGTCAGATGCGTTCCACTTACTGCAACTCACTGTCGCTTGCGGTTAGCCTGGAGTAGAGAGCATGCATTGTGGACACCGCAACAGTGGGCTTGTGTGATGTTTTCCGACGAGTCCAGGTTTAGCTTGCAGTCTGATTCTCGCCGGACTTTCATATGGAGAGTTTCAGGTACCCGTTACCACCAAGAAAACATCATTGAACGACACCGTTACGGTGGTGCAGGAGTGCTCATTTGGGGTGATATTATTCTGGGTTCTAGAACTCACCTGCATGTTCAAATTGGAACCATGACAAGCCAAATCTCTCGGGACGTCATTCTGGAACAACATGTACGCTTGTTTCGGGGCGCCATGGGCGCACAATTTGTGTTTATGGATGGCAATGCCTGTCCTCACCGTGCAACATCGTAAGCGAATGCCTTCAATCGGAGGATATCACCCATATGGACTGGCCAGCATTCTCACCGGACTTGAATCCAGTAGAGCACGTATGGGATATGCTTGGCGGACGAGTTGCAGCCCGTCAACCTCCTCCTACATGTCTACCGGAACTTCGGAGAGCATTGCTTATTGAGTGGTGTAATATCCCCTAAGATCAGATCGATAATTTGATACTCAGCATGCCTAGACATACAATGTATTAACAATCATACCAACCATGTAATATTGGTTTTTCGTAAATAGGTTTGTTTTGTAATTTGCTCCAGGGAGAAAAATCGCTAATTTGTTTTATAATATCAAACATATAGTATCTTTTTTTACTCTTTTCCTTTTGTTTAATAAATAAGCTTTACAAATAAGTCAAATTTGTTTTGCTTCTAACTCTTCCTTTGCCTGATTTTGCATTATCCTTAATTTATGGACATGAGTGTATTATAGGCATATGCTTTGTACAGTCATTAGATTTGTCGAAGTAGTAGACGTGAAAATGTGCAGTGCTCTTATCGGTATTCAAACTCCGGATCTTCCGATGGCAGCCGAACGTACTTTTCAATTACACCTCGAAGGAGGGATTTCGCTTAACTCTCTGTAAACAGTTTGCGTCAAAGCAGCTGCTCATATTTTGATTATCAGTTTTCCAAAGAGTGTTCTTGTAGATGCTGAGCAATCAATCTCACATATGGCTACTAGGAAGGGTTTGTACGCCTGGATGACCTTGTGACGCTCTTCGTTTAACCTTTACTGTGTTTGGAATTTCTTACCAATCTAGATATTGCGCATTGTGGAGTATTCCATTCCGTAAAAATTTCCGTCAGCAATTATCCTGATTCCTTTATTCTGATTATTATATTCTTTCAGATAAATAAGAAGAAAAGAAAAAACGAAAACAGGAAAG